CAGTAACACTTGATCAATATACTTTCAAAGGGCCTAAACACATGGGTGCTCAGACCCATATTCATTAGCTCCAGTGTGGTCAAACAAGTATAAGCAATGAACTCTTTAAGAGTTTATTTTTGTACCCTTTATCAAACAAGTGAAGTAATTGCCAATTAGTCAGTTCAACCTTATTTCCAGGTTTAATCCAGGTAAGAGTTACCACTGATCTCTTCCCTTCCTTGCTGCCCAACAGATGGGAAAGTACATTTGGCTCCTTCTAGGATTCTCTTGGTCTTTTTTTTTTTAAACCATTTGCAGCCAACTCTATTGTTCAAGGCTTTTCTTTTTAGAAACTTCCCCTTAGTTCATTTTAAGTAATTCTTTGAACCAGAACCATCCCTACTCCACTCCTTCTTGGGTGACCAGACAGCAAGTATGAAAAATGTCTGTGATGGGAGTAACAGGTGCCTATATAAGACAAAGTCCCAGATAGTTTGACTATTCCTATAAAATCAGGACATTGTGTCACCCTACTCTTTTCTAGCTTTGTAGCCTTTTTTTTTTTAAGATCTTCTTTCTCCTTGCTAGTCAGGGCCTTCCTTTACAACAAACATTTCCTTTTCCAGCTTAAGCAAATGCTAATTCTTTTGATTTAATATTTATTCTACCTGGAAGGAAGAAGCAAATGGACTATCAGATGGGGAAAAGCAGAGGCTGCAAATTGTGACAGGCAGCAAAAAATGATGTCAGTATCTGCAACAGTTTTAAATGTTACACCAGCCCAGGATTAATTAGTGTTTGCTCTACTCTGCCAACAAAGTCCTTGGCTCTGTTCTATTATACGTTTATCCAGGTCCCACCTCCACATGGTGAACCCACTGGCTTGTCACTTTCTGGCCCTGCCCCATGGTCAGGCCCCTCATTCGGATTTTGCCCTCATCTCTCAACACCCCCTTTTCTTGATGAGGAATACAAGGGGTGGTCCTAAAATCAGTCACCCCAGCTCTGCTTCGATGCTAAATATACACATGGGGCTTAGAGCTAGTAGCTAAAAACCATCACCCCATTGGGTAAAGGCACACAGAAACAACAGGTCACTTATCCCACTCCTAGTGCCAAGGGGAAACACTGTGTCACCTGCTGCCCTTCCCATGAGTTCATAGTATTTGTAGGGGCCTTGGCCTCCCTTCTTACAGCTGATGCACATGGTAAATTAAAAAAACACCTCACCCTTTAAAACCCATCTCTTAATGTTTGCAGATTGCCAGGCCAGGACCTGGGTGCTCCAGCTCTACTGCATCAGCAATCTGAAACAGAACGTGTCACAGCAATGTGGGTCTGCCCTATCGCCCGCCATCCACACAAGACAGAGAAGAGCCTGTTCAGGCCTGTTGGAGTAGTCATCTATAACTTGTAAGAAGAAGAAAGGGTGGGAAAGGAATGAAGTCTCTTGCTGGGTTTGAACAAGTTGTCTGTTACATCCTTTAGCTTTTATACCTCAGAGATGTATCCCAAATAGATAGGGTGCAACCAATTTCATGGTTGTGAAAAACATGTCACAGACTGTGAAATTTGCCCTGCACCATGAAATCTGATCTCCCAGAAATCAGCCAGGCTGGAGAGGACTTTTCCTTCCCCTGCTCAGCTGTTATCGGAGGGAGATCAGACAAGAAAGCCAGTGCAATCTCCGGGCCCCTGGGCAAGGTGTGGGGAGGCTCTGTGCTCCTGGAAGGAGCAGGGCCAGGGCAGCTGGCCCTCAGCACTGCCCAGACCATGGTCCCACCCCCTTCTGGAGCAGGCCACCCAGAGCTCTGCAGCATGTTCTGGCAGCAATTTAAAGGGACCAGGGCTCTGGGCATCACCACCACTACTGCAGCAGTGGTGGCACCCAGAGCCCTAAGCCCCTTGAATTGCTGGGCCCCAGGGAAAGTTACCCCCTCTCCCATTGCTCATTTCTGTGCTGCAGCATCTCTGGAGCTGGACTTCAAGCTCTTGCACAGGCTCAGGGCACCCAGACTGGGGGCTACTGCTGCCGTACACAGCTTCCATCATGACTCCAGGCTGATGCTCCACTGGAGACCCCATGGGGGACTGCCACCTATTGCAGCGCCAGTTAAGGTTGCCAGGTGTCCAGTATTCACCCGGACAGTTTGGTATTTGTGGGTTCCATCCAGTAAAAACAAAAAACCCAGGAAATACCAGACATGTGAAATGTCCAGTATTTCCTGGTTCCCTCGGACGGAAGCCCAGTGGGGGCATCTGGCAGGGGCAGGAGATTGAAGAGCACAGCAGAGACATAGCAAAGGGGGCCAGGAGGGGGCACTTACCGGGTGCCATGCTAGGGGGGTGCTGGGCTGGGTGGGAGCGCAGTGCACGCTGCTCTGCCCCATGTGACCAGCAGACACCCAGGAGCTGGCCAAGGCAGCCAGAGTGGCAACTTTAAAAATAAGATTAACTTACCCAGCCCTCCCGTTCCTCCGGTGCCTGGGTTTGCAGGGCACGGGGCGCTCCCGTTGCTGGGGATGCCTGGCTCATGGGGAGGGGGGAGTGCATTGGGATGGGGGGATTCTAGAGGGGCCTGGCTCTGGGGGCAGGGTGGGTGCATTGGGGGTTAGTGTGTGGCCCCAAACTGGAGGGAGTGGTGCAACTTTTGCTTAACTTTGGTCTCCCCTTCCTTCTCCCCACCCCCATCGATAATTTTTCCCAGGATTTTTTTCCAGGGGGCGGGGCAGGGCAGGTATTTGGTATTTTTTGTTAAACCATCTGGCAACCCCAGCTCCAGTCCCTGTAGCTTCTGCCCAGCTCTAGGCTGCCTTCCCCCAACATGGCTCCTGCCTGGGCTCTGGACTTGAGTTCTGGCATTGCTGCAGCTGGGCCCCCTTCCCTTCCCTCTCCTCTACATTTCCTGTTGGGGCTCTAGGTCGTCCGGGCCTTCTGCTCATCCCTTGCCCCCACCCTCCTAGTTTAGGACACCTGAGCTCTGATTTGCTGCTGCCTACCCTGCCCTCCCCTTCAGTTCCTGCTGGGGCTCTGGGCTTCTGTTCCTTCCCTACCTTGTGATCCCTGCTCAAGCTCAGAATGCCTGAGCTTCAGGATTGCTACTACCTCACCCTTCCCTCCTCTCCCCTCTGCTGTGGTCCCCTCCAAGCAGGTCCTGCTGGAGTTGGGGGGCACCTGGGCTCCAGCTGGGACTCATCTTCCACCCCATGTGACTCCTGCCTGGATTCAGGGGGGGCTGCCAGGTCCTGGAGCTTTCGCTCCCCCCTCCTCCACACCACTCCTGACTGAGCACCAGTTTTCACCCCCTTCTCCTGGTGGCTTCAACTGGGGCTTGGGCAGGCCCATCCTTACAATTTACACAAGATACCTGAGGCCCTTCATGCGCTCGCTTGCTCTCACTCACTCTCACACACAGCACTTAGGACTTCCCTGTGGCTGGCAGGAGAAGCCACAGAGGCCAAGTGGTCCTTTCCACCACCCAGGAGAGGAGCACATGGGTGAGGTGTAAGGGAGGGGGCAGGAAGAAGGTAGCTCTACTGCTGGTCAGCAAGGGAGCAGCCTGGGTTGGGCCGGATAGAAAGCAGCAGATGGTGATCAGGGCTATCTGTAGTCATACGAGCACTCATGGCTGTGTAGAGGCACACAAATTTGGAGCCACCAAATTTTTAGGTGCCCTTTAAGGCTGCACATGCCTAAGGATGGCACTGGGCTAGGGGCGCCCCTGCTGGGACTCAGGACACCCTGAACTCAGGGATTTAGCACCTGTGGGGGTTTGGAGCTTCTACCCCATCACTCCTACCAGAACTGAGACACCTATTTTAAAGTTGTCCTGGGCCCATGGGCACAGTCCCCCTAGCCCCATATGTTAATCCATCACTCGCCCTGAGTCTGATTAGCAGTTAGAAGCACATTTGGGGCCTTCCCAGCAGCACTGGGGAGATTGCACCTACCTCCACCTCTGGGAGCCTCTTCCTCCAGCTGCAGGAAATGCCACAGCTGCTGCCTTCAGAGCTGGGTTCTACAGGCAGCACAGAAGTGAATATGGCAATCCTGCAACCACCCTACAACAACACTGAGATCCCCTACAATCCCCTTTTGGATCAGGACCCCCACAGTTACGACACCATAACATTTCAGAGGAAAATCCTGAAATCGACCATTTTAAGACTCCATGGCTGTGAAATTGACCAAAACGACCTGTGAATTTGATAGGGCCTTATAAATAGGCTCAGACTGGCAAGTCTTCAGGTGCACAAACTTACAGCATAGTTATCTAGATAGGGGATATGGTGGCAGAGGCTTCAACACTGTGGCTTCATGATAATTATATATAATTAAGGAAAAGCTATCTGATTTTGACAAGGCAAAATTCCAGGCTTGTCCTTTCCATTAGTCAGGGTTTAGTCAGAACACTGCTCTCATTTACATCACCCAGGAAGCACTTCTTCCCTTTCAATGTTGCTTGGATAAACTCCTGCCAATGGATGGAATTAGGTCAGATCACACTTTGGTCCCAGATGTGCTGCACACTGATATATCTTAAGGCCACTTCAGTCTATTGAAGTAGTCTTAAAGATGGTGGCAGATTCACCATCAGCTGAAATCTTTAATTCAATATAGGACATCTCTCTAAACCAGTGGCTTCCAAACTTTTCAGCATCACGCCCCCTTTTTGATTTTTCAGAAACCTTCACGCCAGCCTCCCCCCCCCCCCCGCTCATAGCAGCAAAACTTGAGGGGGAAAAAAAGGAACTGACTGGGGCCAAAAAACAAATAGCAGCTAAACTTGGGGGAGGGGAGTTGATGGGAGGGCTGAGTTGCCTCACGACCCCCCCTGGAATTTCTTCACGCCCCCCCAGTTTGGGAACCCATGCTCTAAACAAGGTTGCAGCTCAAATCAGAAATTATGGATTAGAAGTGAGAATAAGAAGGTGAAATTTTATTGCCTATATTATGCAGGAGAGCAGACTAGATGATGATCTGGGTCCCTTCTGGCCATAAACTCTATGAAAGACTGCTTTGTAACAAATGATCACATTTTTATTGAAACTGTTTAAGACACAGAGTACAAATGAATACAGAGTTAAAAACACCCCCAGAAGGGTGCCTCACAGTGCAAAAAAAACAAAAAACCCACAAACATAAAACACTTTTTCCCCCCAAATAATTAAAAAAAACATTTTAAAGATTTGTTTTTACCTAAAGTCAAAGTATAAAAAACACACGTTCATAAATAAAGGTTTATTTTTATTTGTTTTTGTATTTTTAAAATGGTGGAGAAAAAAGGTAGTGTTGTAAAACACGGGTAAAGATTTGTTTGTCTGGTGCCTATGGCATAACTAAGACATGCAGAGTGGACATGGCTTATTCCTATAGTTGCTGCCCCATGCATCTCTGTCCATGCATTACAGCAGGTTACCCACATGAATATGCAGTCCAATCCTGTATATTATTTACAGCAAGCAATCCGAAACTCTGGACATTCTAGTCATATCTACAGAAGGAACCATCTGCTCAACAGCACTCAAGGGCTGCAAGTCCTGTGTATATGTTTTTTTCCTTTTTCTAGATGAGGATTTTATCATTTAATATCATGGATACTGCATTCCAAGTGGAAAAACTTACAAATGCATGAGTATACCAACAGTATTTAAATACCTCTACTTCTGATTTTCTTTAAAAATGTACTTTAAAATTTAAAGTTCATGTGTTTCAACTCCTTTGGAGAAATGTACTGCTTCCTCAGAGATTCAATGAGATCAGCCGAGCGAGGAGAGTGCTAAAAGACCCTCTCCAAACATTACTTGGGAGATTCCTTAGGAAGGAGATTACCTGAGAGAGAAAAATGAAAGAAATGCAGGCTCATGTAAGAGCACCACCTGTGCGTTTCCATGTTTGGCAAAAAATGTGAATTGGCGTTAGAGGGATTAAAATGCAAAGAGTTGTCTCTCTTTTCAGATTCAAGTACTTTCCACTGCACCAGTGTGTTCACGGGTCTTCATTTATGGCTCTAAGGGCTCCCTCAGGAACAGTAACACAAGCTACACCAAGATGAGAAGAAAACTATTGTCATTTCAGAATGTTCTGGTAGAAGGGATGGTGTTTACACAAAGAGCACAGAGTGGTAGGTCCAAATTCCAAGATTTCGCTAAACAATTTCCTTTAATATGTTACATCTGTCCACACACGTGCACAACCAATAAGGGATCTGGGCTCCAATACTGCCTCCTCCCACAATCTCTTCACTTCCCAGCTACCAATCATCGTTCAGGAGTTCTGCCCCAGACTATGGAATAAACTACAATGAAGACATTTGCTGAACAGGCAGGTCAAATGTAAGCTGTGCAGCCTGCAGCCACCAACTACGCTGTCTTGTTACAGACATTTATGCTCCCTTTGCTCTCAAAACTGGAGTTTTTCAGCACACTTCCTACTGCTATCAATGGGAAATCACAAGGAAATTGCCATATATATCAATGGAATCAAGTTCTCTCTGCAACACTTTCTCCCTTCACCTCTTCTCACCACTAAACTTGGGGATATCAGCTTGATTTATAGGTTTTTAGCTGCACAAACTCCTTTCAATGCTAAACCTTAGGTAAACAGTTGAGATTAGACACTTAGCCTTCCCACACCTTCTAGGAAACAACTGTTTAGATGGGAGCAGGTGGGAAAAAAGGGGCTTAATAAAAAGACATTAAATAAAACAACTACCAAATCTATTCTTTAATTCACACCACTAAACTCAGTCCTGGTTCTACTTCCCTAAAGCCCTGCCTCTGCTGATCTACATCTTTCATAGCTCCTTCAAGCCCTCTATTGGCAACCTATCGTCTTGAAGCCAAGACTTTCTATTTCCAACACTATTCTTCTGGAAGCTCTGACTCTGTTTCCTAATTATTTTAAAATCACACACGCCACAGATTCCCCTCCTAATCTACTTGCTTGAGCCTGCCCCACTACAATTCTAATCAGACACTTGCCCCTTGTTTGCTCTTTTCCCACCTACACCCACAGTCCAAGGAATATCCACATTCAGCAGTCACAAAAATCTTTGTTTTTTTTTAAACTCACTCCCTTTGAAATTATCCAAGGGAGTCCTATCTGACAATACTGTGAATCCTGATAGCTGTTGATTTTCAGATATACCAGTCCAAGATACACAATGGACAGGATTACTGTATCTAACAGGAATGGCTTTGGGGCATAGTCTCTTCATTATAGCCACCCTTTCTCAGGCATCCTTTCCAATCCCATGTCACCACTTCATACTTTAAATACAAATAAAAATAAAATGGAATCAAAATCTACAAGGAAAGGAATTTAAAGAACCCTCAAGCCACTATTTCCTGTACCAGAAGTTGTGTGGGTTGAAGGTACTGCTATTTTTCCTGAGTGTCTGTGTCCCAGTACCAGGAAGAAATCTCCTGTGGACTGGAACATAAGTTTTCACAGTCTGAAAGTGAAGAGATAACAGCTGGATGACCCAGATTCAGCCTGACCCAGACTATACCCATCAGAGAACCAAGAGATTGCTCTCACATTCCATTTGTGAGCATCTCTACTCCCTCCCTCCCATTTATTTTTTTCCGCCTATGCAATCCGCTCCTTTCCATTTGCCATAGATGCTGACCACAGAATTCCAGCTCACCATTCAATTCAGCACAGTGCAATAGTGGGAGGGGACTAGCAAGATCGCAATCTGAGGTCTAACCGTTGAAGAACAGTACAACTCTTCTGAACCAGAGGTCAGAGAGGACACCTGAAATGTTTGGACAGATTCACATGATGGAAAGAACCAGCTGAATGGCTCTGAACAGGCTTTCTGCACCTCAAGTTGTCAGTTCTGTAGCTCAGCAAACAATCGCCAGCCAGCAAGCAGAGAAATGGCCCTAAGCACTGCCCAGACCATGGTTCTAGTCCCCGGCCCTGGAATGCAGCAAACAGAGGGGCCAGCTGGCTCCCGACCAGATGGCCTGTAAAGGCTGCACCATAGATCCTTCAGTCCTGGAGTGCCATGAAAAGATGGGTCAACTAGCCCTAGGGCAAAGACTGCACTGCAGGTCCCTAATTCCGAAGTGCAGCAAAGAAAAGCCCCATCCCAGAGAGCTACAAGACCAAAATGATGGACAACTTGCCTCAGACCAGCTACCAGCTTTAAAGGACTTTTGCTGATGCAGCCAACATTTACATCCAATGCTAGACTAACTGAAGCTTGGTTGCTGAACTAGAGTTTTACATGCTCGGACTATACTGCTCTCTCTGGTTTTTAAGAGGAAGACTGAAGGCAGAGAAAGAAAATGAAATATCTTCTCTGGGTAGCCACTTGCTTTGATATGGATCCACCTATATTACATCCTATTTTACTAGCTTTCTGATACTGACCAATAGCAACTTTGGATACTTGTAAGTCATGACGATAAACCCTATTACTACCAGCTTTGAGACGTCTTATAAGGCAAGAAGGCTATTGCACATAGAATTTCACAGGGGAAAGATTTTCTATTTCTTCATCAAGAGACCCATAGAAGGGTAGGGGAAGGATGATAATTACATTCCATAGTATCCAATGCTGGCAGCTCAGCTCTGCTGAGCGATCATTTTCTGAGTCCTTTAGAAAAGGTAAGTTATTCTCTGCTCCTTGGGGATATTAAGAAAATCTGTTTTCCTTGTAGAGCAACTGGAAGCTATTTACTGACTTTCCTGACCAGGACAATGAAAGCATCAAATTGGGAGAGAGCAGCAGTTGCATGGGTGACCACACGGATTAAGGGCTTCACCCAGAGAGATGGAGGTCATGCTTCCCACTTAACGTCTCACAAGAAAAGCTTTCAACAGCCAACCCATGCCCCTCACCACAGTCTCACTAACATCAAGAGATCAGTATCCAATTCCACTCTCAGAATATGGCTAAAGGGAACTTTGAGTCTGTATTTTCATTTCTCCAACATTATTTCAACCCTTTTCTTTTTAATGTCTGATGAAAACCCAATCTGAAGTATTAGAACACAGATTAATCACCAACGCTCATTTAAAACGCCACTATTTTCTTGTTATATAATTTCTACAGTTTGGTCCAAATTCTCCCTCTCAGTGGAGATAAATTATATCCCAAACAGCCTTTGAACACAATGGGCAAAACCAACCAGGTACCCCTCACAAAAGCAAGATTACTGCAGGAAACAAACCAGGGCTGGGAAAAGGAAGATCAGCAAGACAGGCTGCAGCAGAAAAGACCTAGTTAGTAATTGCAAAGCCACTCCAGCCTGCCTCAGCTCTTGGGGGTTATTATAATACAGAGATTGTGTCTCGCTGGGATACAGCAAAAGAGAAAAAAAAATGGTTGTGTTTGAGAAGGGAAGGAAATGGCCACCAAAGATTTGTGAAAAGATTAGAGCAAAAGTTTTTTAAAAATAAATTAATAAATAGAACATTTAAAGTCTGCCTTTGGATTCTGATGAAGCCCGGGGGAAGGAGGGATTGGCTTCATCCAAGCGCCTTTTGTTCAGTTCAGACCTTCTTGGGCAAACAATTTATTTTTTGTTCTTATGGGAGATGCCAAACATCTGGCTATGGAGAGACTTCCAAGCAACTTCTCTGCACTCTTCTTTCCAGGCTGTCTTCACAAACTGGAAGCTGAAGAGCACTGGGGAAAGTTATTAAAACTGTGGCCAGCACATTGCTAAAAACTAGGGTATGCCTGCTCTATGGGGCTGAGGAGATCAGTTTAAAAGGGTCTCTCTCTCCATAGATCAGGGTGGCAACAGCACTTGTCTGAGGCTTCCACTGTGGTGGTCCTCTTGGGATTCTTTCTATGTAGCTATCAGTTTACGTGTTTTTGCTGACCGCCACCCCTTTACAGTTTTTTGTCCATGCGCCGTTCCACAGCTTGTAACAACAACTCTGAGTACTGTTCCAGCAAAGCCAGAGTCTGTTCATCCCCAAAACGCGTAGGACTAGACAAGCCGGCATCACTCCCTTCACTCAGCGACCCAACTGCATCTTGTGGCTTCACTAGCACCTTCTTGGCCCTTTGGAGCCCTTCTCCTTCCTTCAGGGAGTCCAATTCTTTCTTCATCACAGAGAATGTTTCTGTCAGAAGGCCAGCAATCTTATCTTTGTCAGTAGAAGACTCCATGTCCATTGATACCTAGAAGAAAAATGTACAATTTAGACATAAAGAAGGTATTTGCAACTCTTGAGGGCCATTGTGAGCCATAAAATAGTCTTACACCAAGGGCACAACACACTACTCCAAATTGTCAATAGGGTCTGCCTTAAAGTGGTTGTAGAGAGTGTATGTATGCTCACAAATTGAGCTCAGATCCCACTGTCTATCATATTTACTAACCCATCCCCTGGGCATCAATGGGTTTATGAGAAAAGTCAGAGGACAATAAAACTTAGTATTTCAGTCGTGCTTTGTGTCTCTGAAGTCTCAAATATTAACTAACCCCTTCCATGCCCCTGTGCAGGAGTTAATGTTTATCCTCAGTTTACTGAGGGGACAATCAGGCACAAATATTAAATTATTTGCCCAACTCAATGCAGCACGCCATTGGATAAGACAAAATTAGAATCTAGAAATTCCTGACTACCAGTCCCAAGCTCAAAGGCAACCCACTAACCCACAGTTAGAACACCTCAATCCATTCAGTGCATATCTGTGTGTTCTTCAATCTTGAGGTCAAGAAACAAGTTGACTGGTAGATCAGTGTTCGAGGTCACTTACCAAGCGGTAAAGGTGAACGGCCTTGCGCATGCTGTCCTGGAGCTCAGATACAACATGTTTACACTGCTCAATGCTGATGGAGCGTTCTGAAGAGAGAACGTAAATAAAAGGAACTTAGCCACAAACATATACCAATGTCCTAGACCCCCACCCCACTCAATTTGTTAAAAAAATCCATCTATAGAATCACCATTTCTTCAACACTGTTGCTAATATTTATTTTAGAGGTCAAATGTGTGTTCAAATATTTATTTTAGAGGTCAAATGTGTGTTCGAATCAACTTTTAAAGGAGAGGCTACCCAGAATGGTTCAAGCCATAGACTGAGTAGGCAAGTGCCAAACCGTGAACAAAAGATGGCAGCCTCCCAGCTATTACCAGCCAAGAAGGGCACTATATATGACAACACTCCTAGGACGAATCCCACATGAGTATGAGCTTGCCAGGATTGCTTCATGACACTGTTGTCTCCAACCTCACATTTCTCCTGATTTCATCAGCAGATTATTTATTTAAATAAGTTATGAAGGTACAGTCAGAATATTACCCATAGCAGCTGATCAGCAAAACTCTGCCTTAGGGAACTGATAGCAGACTTACTAGTAGAAATACTAATTTTGTAAGTACAGTTATCTTCCCCCCCCACACACACCAGCCCTTGCCTTCTGCCTATCAATAATGAATAATCAATAAGGGGTTTGGGTATTTGGGTAGCCAGATGTGCATATTTTTTGTCATATTTGAACAGAAATATCTATATTTAGAGACAATCTTCTTTTCCCTATAGCTGCTTTATTTATCAGCTGATTTTGATAACATTTGAAACGGAGTCAGGTTTTTTTTGTTTTGAGGCTTCAAGATGTAGCTTAGCCAGCTTATGCCTTACTTCGGCACTGCTGGACATTGCTACTCAAGCTCCTTCAGTTACCTAGAAAATAAAAAGTGGCTATGAGAGCACTGGAACACTTATTTCTGAACAAGAGAGGCCACCTATTGAAAGGCTGAAGGGGAATACAGAACAGATGAGCCAGTGACATATGCTGATACTCCCAGGGAATTACTCAGATCTATGCATTCTTTGCCTCCCGAATCACCAACAGTTTTAATACAGTGGTTTCAGTTTTCTTGTTGTTGATCATTACTAATCTGTTCAGTATTATTTATGGATTTCTCCCATGATGTTGACTTATGCCGTCCTCCAGTTCTGAGAACCACCAGCATAAAGAGAGGTTGTAAATGAAGTAAAAATTCCTGGATGAATGGGCATTTTCAGCTGCCAGGTCTCAGAAGCAGAGATAGTACCTCTCTACAGAAACACATAGGCTAGTTAACATACTAATGAAAACATTTAGTACTTCTACAATGCTTTCTATCTCTAGAGCTCACAGAGCTTTGCACAGGTAAATACCTTTATCTATAGATTCTATTTATAGATGGACAAACAGGGCCAAAGAAGTCAAGTAACTTCCTCTGTTACAGAGTGAGTCAATCAAGGATAAAAACTTCAGGTCTCTAACTCTAATTCCCTATCCAGTAAGTCACTCCACCCTGTAATACTCACATCCTTTTTCAAAGTGGCATGCTATATATTACATATAAATAAAAAACTGTGGTTGTAAGAGACTTTTATCATTTCCCCTTTGCTTTTATTTTTATTTATTTTCATGGTGGCGATGGATTTCTAGTTGCAAACCTATGTCTCCTACAGCCCTGGGGCTGAAACTTCCTGTGAACTTCACATGAGTTTTGTGGTCACTTTGCTGAGACACTCAAATCAAGAAGAAAAACAAACACACCCAGTGCAAACAACTAGTCTATGACTTTATGGTTGTAGAATCAGATTCCATAGCTCCAAGTGGGTGCCAATTCTTGAAAAGCCCAGATTCTGATAATATTGTACAATATTAAAACTAAATTTTAATATTGTACAATATTAAAACTAAGCTCTTCAGGCCCAAGGACCGTGTGTCTTATTTACAAGTGCCCAGGACAACAATGGGTTTCAATCTCAATCAGAGCATTTAGGCACTACAAAACACACATACATATACAAACACACCCAAAACAGAAACAAAATGAAAAAAACCAACCCAAGCCCCACACATATCTAGATAAAAAATTCTCTTTACGAGCTTCTAGTGCACACACTTTTTAAAATATATATTTATTTATTTATT